GTTAGGTGGGCGGCGCTTGATGGGGTGTTCGGGGAGTCGACATAGGGTAGTATCCTAAGTAGTGGATGTTGGTGTCTCGCTTCCACGTATGGTATGAATCTTGGATGTCGTGGACTCCGCGTGCTTTTGAAGGGGGCTCACGATAGGCGGGTTGTAGGAGTACGCAGCGTAGTGGGAACAACACATGGAATGTCTGCAGTGGCGGATGGGCGGTGCAGTCGTCGCAAGTTTCTTGTGTCGTTCATCCATAAGTTAGACATTCTTGGCATCGCCGACGAGGGTTGTTTAGCTCACCCTCGCCACTGCTATGATTGATGTTGTGTTTGAAGTGGATGTAGTCTGTTTGATGCCGTTCACCACAAAAGTTTTTCAAGAACTACGCATCGACGCTTTGTTCGTTCATTATGAAACAACATGAGTGTCATAAATACTTGTTTTTTAGCAACTTTTTTTTTTTTTTTTTTTTTTTGTGAATGCGACGTGTGGTGATTGTTGAGGGTCTGCATGATGTTGATCGGATGCATGTGTGTGCATCGACCTTTGCTTACCCTTCTTATATTGTCATTACGGCTTCATGCTCTTCAATTCGTTGGTTGAGATGTGAAAGCTTTACCAAATTTTGGTAAAAAACAATAGTCGATAACAAAGCACAACGTTAAACGAAAGGAAATGCAAAATCATAGAATATACTCCAACATAATAGAAGAAAAACATTGTTTCTGGCCACAAACATTATACGGACCATGCTCACAACGTTGTCAACATGGCAATCACATCCGAAGATTAAAAGGCATTTGGATGACACACGTCATAAGTCATATTATTGGAGGACGAAAAAATGCAGTCATGTGAATACACGACCGACATGGAAAACCAAAAGAAACACTATTCGATTGGAATACGAACGAATACTCATTGAGAAGCACCGCCGCCACCACAGCGCGCATGCCATCCACGCTAATAGAAAAATGGAGATCAAAACATTAAAAAGGAGGCGGCGAACGTGCTTTCATACTCGCCATTCTGCTATGGTCCTCTGCACCCAGCCTGCAGTACATGACCAACCTGGACGAATTGCCCAAGCAACAAAACCCATTATCGATCCCGACAATTACCTCCTACAACACTCCGGCTAGCACCACAAATGCCCACCTCGTGTAGCGCAAATGGCCACCCCGCCTAATGCCAACGCCACGCTGGCGAAACCAAAAATGGAGAACACAACCTCGCGTGCAGCGAGAGCGCAAAAGCGGTTTAGGAGGCGATCATCACATGACCGTAATGATGATGACTTCCACTACAAACGTCGCCAGCCACATGCCCATGCGCTCCGCCAAGGCATTGATCAACTTGTAGGCCCCGTCCGTCAACATCGTCATTGCCACTAGCTGTGGCGGGTGATGAATGTCGAGGTTCACTTGGCGCCGCACTCCGTTCTCGTCGGTATCCCACCGAAGATTGTTGTCGAAGTCGATACCTGCATCGAGAAGGATGTTGTGCAGAATGCTGACTGCCATGAACTGCTGCGACAGACTATGTTGCACGCCCGGCCGCGGCCGGGGGGTCCGAATCGGCCGCGGCCTCGGACGATGGCTGAATCGGCTCGGTTCGGCCTAGGCCGACCAGCCGAGTTGCGTGCAGGATTTTTTTTTTTTTTTTTAAGGCATAAAAAAAAACAAATGGGCTTGTAGGGCTAAAAAAACCCTATACACCCATATTTTTTTGGGGGGCATTATTGTTTTCAATTGCGTAACAAAAAATAAAAACAGAAAAACGAAAAAGAAAAAAAAAACTCTTCGAAACCCCGTGCAAGTGTGTGTGTGTGTGTGTGTGTGTGTGTGTGTGTGTGTGTGTGTGTGTGTGTGTGTGTGTGTGTGTGTGTGTG